GATTGATAGTGTTTGATAGAACGGGTTTAAAGGCAAATTCTGAAAGTAATTTGGGTCCATAGGTTTTAATAATAGTAGTTGGGTTTAAAAAATAAATAGGGGTAAAACTTTGGGTTTCAAGGCAAAAATCCTTGAAAAATGATAGAGCATATGATGTCTTTTCTGTTACTATATGTTAGACTAAATATTTTACACAGAGACTAATTTTTGAGACTTCTTGCAGAAGAATTTTTTTATGGATAGTGCTTTACTGGATGTCAATTATCAATTATTGAATTATCTAGCTACATGGTTATCCTGGCATTGAAAGTTTTGTATACCATTTTGTTTTATAGGTTGAGGACATTGTTGACACTGGGAATACCCTTTCCTGTCTCATTTCCTACTTAAAATCAAAAGGTGCTTGCTCTGTATCTGTCTGCACCTTTCTGGATAAGCCTGCAAGGAGAAGAGTTCATTTCGAACTAGTTGGGGAAGGAAAAATTTATCGTGGTTTTGAGGTACAAATCTTCCAATATCCTATTGGCAAAATGTTTTTGATAGTTCTATGTGACAGATTTTCAGGCATGTTAAATGTTTTTGAAAACTAATGTTAATTTAAATTCATATTTTGAATTTGGAATCACTAGTCAATTTGGCTTTTAATGTAGTTTAGATGCAGATATTATTCCCTGTATAGTGTTTCATCTTATTCTCTAGACTTTTTACTAGTATAGAAGCTTCAAACTGGCTTAAGTTTTATTAACGATCCTCCCTCTTGCATATCATGACTTGCTTAGGAATCTCCAATCATATTATTTTATTTAGTTTGCTTCAATTTATTTTTCGCTCTATAACTTCCACAACAATCGAAAGGATGAAACGGTATAAAATTGGTAGGGTTGGAATCTTGGGCCCAAAACATCAAAAACAGATACAGGAAGGTAAAGAAGCACTTAACTGCTTTGCTGCTATCCAACTTTCTTTTCCTTGGAAAGATCTAGTGATGGAGATAAATGCCCATTTAAATTAAAGAATATAGCTTCTTCATTCATTTTTTACTCGATATAGGAAATCTAATTCTTGTTTCTTTCAGAACATCTTTCGTCTCTGTCAGAATCCACTTCTTGCTTTAGAACCTCAATGTGATCCCAGTCATCCTCCATAGCCTCTTTTTTGTTGAAACTTCCAGTCCTCTCATTAATCTCCACGAGCATTCTGACTTGTAATTATAATTTTCTAGACCATCAGTATTTCACAAGTTACATGCAATCTAACTTGCTACGAAATCAGCTGAAGTGACATCTGATTCAACTTAAGATGAGGGCTGGTTAATAGCCTTTAGCTTAGAAGAAATAATGACTCTAGAAGGAAAACCTCAACTATAATATTGGTTCTTTTCCTTTTTAACCATTTATCAACCTTTACTCCGCCCAATATGTAATTGCAATCCGTATTTTAACAACCTCTTGAATATTGTATTGGATTTCAAGACACTTGACGTCGATAGGAGGCATCTGAAATAGAAATAAGGTTACAGGGAGAACAATTGACAGTATTTGGTTGATAAAAAAAAATGAACTTTTGCGATTTTCTTCGGAGCTTTTTATACTTGTGTACTTTGGAAATTGTAGATTTATGTTGCTGACTTGAGGGAGTTGGAGCGGTGAAATTATTTTGTTTCATGATGAGCTTTAGCATGGGCTTTCCTTCCAACATCTCAATTTAAATCTCGATTTTAAGTTACTAACCTATCTTGTAGATGTGGTTGGGATGGAGTTGAGCTGGCTCCACCTCATGGTATTACATTCTTTATTCATAGTTGTCATTGAGATATCAAACTACGTGATATATCACTCACCAAACCTTTTTGTTATAGTGAACTCAGATGTTTCCAACTTATGTCTTTGATTCTTTTTAATTCAAAGAACTAAATAATGCGTCAGTAAATCTCCTGAACTGCATTGCAAGAGCATGGCTCTACATGAATAATGTGAAATTATTTTGGGCACATCTTTTAGTAAACTTGTAAGGTGTAGAAAAACATTTCGTTTATGCGCAAATGATTTTGCTAAGTGTTATTTTCATGAAATTTGATAGAATCCATGACTGTTTTTGCCTGAGATACTCTTGGTTTCTTTTTCATCTAAACTCGGCCACTTTCATATTCCTGAACTGACAAATCTTATACCATTATTTTTATCTTATTGCAGTGTCCAGATTATTTCGTAGTGGGTTATGGTATGGACTTTGCTGAACTTTACAGGAATCTGCCATACGTTGGGGTCCTTAAGCCTGAAATGCACACATGACAACGGTTTTGATCGATTTAGGGAAAAGACCACTTCTCAGTTATTTATCAAATGATCCCACAATTCATAAAGGATCTGTACTTGAAAAACATGGAATTTGTGATATGATATTGACGACTTTGTTACTGCCAAGTTTATTAGATGATGTGTTTACTGATATCGAAGAGTATGCCTTCAATTGCAACTATTCATTTTTGGATGAGAACGTGGATAAGTCATAGGTTTGCCTTTTGTAGACGGTATGATCGTTTAGAATGGATTTAAATGAGCTTTATTAGAGCCCTGAAGGCATGAGTTGATATTGGATGGGGCTAATTGTCGATGGACCCCTCGAAGTATCATTGTTTTGAACTTACTACCCTTCTACTTCTATATTTGCTGATAATCTCTCTGAGTGAATTTTTCTTGATTCTTTTATCCTCAGGGTTCTATTTTTCAGAAATAAATATTTTTCCTGAGGTAAATACGAGTCAAAAAGGTTCACTCATGTGGTCTATATACTAACACAGAAGTAGAGGGGTAGTAAGTTCAAAGCAGCGATACTACAGGGAGTGTATCAGCAATTTACCCCATTGGAAGTAAGTGGAAATAGGTCTGTTAGAGGCGAGATCGTGTTCAAACGAATTGATAATACTGACGAGTGACACTACAATAACAACTGCAATTCTGCTCCTTACCTTTTGCTACCATACAATGCCAACAGATTAATATTATGCTTTCAAGAGCTCGGTAAACAAAGTCTCGCTCGTCCAGGAGCAACAAGCTTCCCTCGTGTATCATACACGATAACACCAGAGAAATCGGGAAGCTGACACTTCTCCCCCATCAGTATCCCCTTCTGCCACACGCAAGTCTCTCCTCCTTCCTCCTCCGCCCCTGGCTGCACCTGCTGAATGCTGATCATTGGGTCCCAGCTCCGTCGCCCCCGCCGCCATTTCCTCGAATGCGAAGCACAGGCTGTGATCGTGAACCCGCACAGCAGCAGAAATGCTGCTGCTGCAGTGAGCTTGGCGGCAGATCCGGACGCAGCAGGGAGTGCGAGGTTGCTGAAGGGAAGTTGGCGCGTCATTCTGAGGGAATTCGAGTTGGGCTTTGGATGGGTTGAATGCTGTGTGGGATTTGTGTGTTTATATGCGCGAGGCTTATGTGGATTTGTTGTGGGAGGGATTTGTGGTTAGTGGACATGTTGAGAGGAGAGGAGTAGTTTCTTTGTTGATATTTATCTCAACTAATCCGGTTCGATTAGCTTGTTGGAGAGGAGGTTTGTTAGTGAGGTGATTTCTAGGTGTAGGTGAAAGTTTTTAAACAAAGAAGGGGAAAAAAAGAAAAAAAAGTAGCAAATAAGGACCTGCAATATGGTGAATTAATCAATGGTTCAGGTGCGCATAACTCTCAAGAGAGCATTCTTCACCAAAACTCACCCAAGTTTAGAGTGTCCTGGCCCTGTTCGGCCTGGTCACGGCTCCTAATCTCCATGGATCTGGTTGATGACCTGTTAGCTAAAGAGAGAGGACTTTTTTTTAATGCTTGGACCCTTCAAACTGAGAAAATAACGCAATGCGGAAGAAAAACCTCAGAATCTACCTAGGATATTCTCTGAATCCACAAAGAACGATATCTGAATCCACGAAAAAATATTAAAAGAAAAATTCTATTGATGAAAAGATATGCCTCTAGGACTTATAATACTCTGCTTAAATAGAAAAGAAACAAGACTCCCACTATGACTCAAACTTTATCAAAAATAAAAATAACAAAACTCTTCCTAAAAAGACTCCCTAGGATTAGGAAAGTAAATCGGTCAAATTTGGGATCAAACCGGATTTCTTCCTAATCAAAACAGACTCCTAAAATATTTCCTAAAATAGTAAAAAAACTAACAAAAACGCTGATATCTCTCAATTCGGAGGGAATTTGGTGAAACGGACGGTAACAAACCGAATAATGGTGGGTTTGGTTGGCTCTGTCTTGAAAAAATACGCGATTTTTATATATAATTCGTTCAATTCCGACTTACGGTTTGAAAGATATGACCCGTTCTTCGTGACAAGTTATTTTCCTCAACCGGGTCCGCGTTTGGGCTTGTGTCTATCCCGCTTTCCCATAAATATGATCACCATGTATTCTACATCAGTCCCCCCTGCTTAAAAAGAGCTCTACCCCGAGCTTATATTTGCATGAAGAGTTGTTTCTTCTGGCGGGTAATACTCAAATAAATCCGCAACATTAAAACTAGGAGAAATAGCCAAATCTGTAGGAAGGTCAACGACATGAGCCTTGTCGCTAATCTTCTTCGGTATTTTGTATGGGCCATATTTTTTATTCTTTAGCTTGTCATAGGTGCCCACTGGAAAACTCTCTTTTCGCAGAAACACCATCACCATGTCTCTCTCTTCAAACACCTTCTTCCTCTTGTGTCGATCAACATCAGCCTTATATTTAGCATTAGACTTCTCTATCTTCTCTTTCACTTCCTGATGGATAACACGTATCTTTTCGGCCATATATGATCTGCAGGAATACTCTGTCCCGAAAGCTTAGGTAGTAAAACTAGATCAAGATAATGATTCGGAAGCCTTCCATATACAATCACAAAGGGAGCACTGCCTGTAGTTCGACTCTCCATACAATTATAAACAAATTCAACATGTGCCAGAGCAAGATCTTACTGTTTCGGACGATCGCCAGAGATGGATCTAAGAAGGTTATCGAGAGTGCGATTTACCACCTCAGTTTGTCCGTCTGTTTGAGGATGGTAAGCAGTATTGAATTTAAGTGAAGTATTGAATCGCTGCCACAAGGTCCTCCAAAAGTGGATAAGAACTTGGAATCACGATTAGGTGTGATAGATTTTGGCACTCCATGAAGGCGAACTATCTTTCGAAACGAAAGAAAAGATTGGCAATATTGATAGCATCTGCTGTCTTCTTGCATGGAATAAAATGTGACAACTTTGAAAATCTGCCAACAAAAAAAAAAAAAAAATCAATGCCTCGTCTAGGGAGTCCCAACACAAAATCTATTGAGATATCATGTCATGGCGCATCAGGTACAGGTAAGGGTGTATACAATCCCGTATATTAGGACTGTCCCTCAACAACTTGACAAACTGGACAACGCCACACACATTTTTCTATTCCCTTCTTCAGCTAAGGCCAGTAATATTGCTCTTCAATGGAAGCAATCGTCTTATCATGCCCCAAATGTTCTCCTAACCCGCCAACATGAAGGTCTCGTATTATCTGCTCTCTTAGTGAACTCTGAGGTATGCACAACTGATCTCCATAAAATAAATAACTTTTTGGATATGAAAACCTCTAACTAACTAATTTTGTTGGCAGTCGATCCAAATCTCCTTAAAGTCTTCATCTTCTACATACAGCTCCTTTAGGTATTCAAATCCAGTCACTTCTGCTTGCAAAGTCATCAACAAACCAACTCTCCGATTGAGTGCATTTGCAACCTTATTCTGCTACCCAGACTTGTGCTTTAAAACAAAGGTGAAACGTTACAGAAACGTAATCCAACGAGCATACATATGATTGATGGTAGTTTGACTATTGATGGACTTCAAAGCCTGATGGTCAGTATTAAGCAAAAACTCTCGCAAGATCAAATAGTGCTTCTAATGCATCAAAGACTGAATTATGACATATAACTCTAGTTCATATGTGGTCCACTTTTGTCGAGCTTCGCTGAGTTTCTCACTATAGAAAATAACTGGACGCCCTTCTTGGGATAGAACACCACCAATTCCTATGATGGACACATCACAATCAACTTCAAACACCTTTTGAAAATCAGGAAGAGCAAGCACTTGTACTGTGGATATCTTCTCCTTGATTAGTGCAAAGCTACGATCCGCATCTTCCCCATAACTAAACTTGCCTTTTTTTCATGCACATAGTGATAGGCGCTACAATGCTATTGAAATTTTTGACAAATCTCCTGTGGAAAGTTGCTAGGCCATGAAAACTACAAACTTCACTGATAGTCTTCGGGGTAGGCCAATCTCGAATAGCATGCACCTTCTCTTCATCAACATGGATGCCCTCTGCACTGACGACAAAGCTCAAGAATAATAGGCGACTGGTCATGAAGTTGCATTTCTTTAGATTGATATACAGCTTGTTCTTTTGCAAAGTTGTTAGTATCTCCCTCAAGTGGTCCAGATGCACGGTCTCAGTCTGACTATAAATCAGGATATCAACAAAGTAAACTACAACGAACTTACCGATAAAAGTTTTTAATACCCAATTCATCAACCGCATGAAAGTGCTAGGAGCATTGGAAATGCCAAAAGGTATGACCGACCATTCATACATGCCTTCTTTTGTCTTGAAGGTAGTCTTCCACTCATCTCCTTCTCTAATCCGAATATGATGATAACCACTCCCGAGATCTATTTTGGAGAACACTTTTGATCCAGACAACATATCTAGCATGTGTTCCAGGTGAGGGATAGAAAATCGATACTTCACGGTAATCTTATTGATAACCCTACTATCCACACACATGCACCACTCTTCAATCTTCTTTAGGACTAGTAATGCTGGCACACCACACAGACTCATGCTAGCTCGTATAAGGCATTTCTAGATGAGATCGTCCACTTGTTTCTGCAAGATCTCTCCTTCCTTCAGGCTCATCTGATAGTGTGGCATATTCAGTAGCCGGGCTCCAGGGATGAAGTTGATTTGATGTTGAATGTCTCGATGCAATGGTAATTCTGAAGGAAGTTTGTCAGACATAACTGCATCAAATTGTTACAAAAGGGTCTGTACTTCAGGTGGAATTTTGGTTGAGGCAGAATTCTCGTTTACCGATACAACAAGAGTATAAACCTCATCAGACTGCTTCAAATCTTTTATAAAATCTTCAGTGTCAACGGTCAAAAAAGACTTCTTTTTAGCAACATTTGTTTTGATTGGCCCCTTCTCTGTAAGAGGCATGAGCACAACTCGTCGACCATCCTTCTTAAAGATATAAAAATTTTCCTTCCCCCTATGCGTGGTATCAACATCAAACTGTCATGGCCTGCCTAATAGCATATGACAAGCATCCATCTCAACTACATCACATAATACCTCATCAACATAATTTCAGCCAATGGAAAAAGATATCCGACACATCTCATCAACCTGCATGTCATTACCCTTATGAATCTAACCGATCTTGTAGGGAGCAGGATGTTTCTCTGTCTTCAAACCTAACTTCTCTACCATGCATCGAGAGAATATTCTCGCTGCTACCACTATCGATGATAACATCACAGGTCTTTAGTTTCACAGTGCATTTCGTGCAGAAGATTTTATGTCGTTGTGGTGGTTCTTTTGTCTTTGGAGCCAATAATAGTCGCGCACAACACACGAGAGTTGATCCACATCATCAGGATCTACCCCATCACCGCATCATCTTGGTCTATATCCTCCTCTTCATGATCCACCATATTCACAACACTTCTTTTAGGGAACTGATTGGATCGATGACTAGGTTAACCACATCTGTAGCACTTAATAGGATCGGGTTTGGCATATGGGTTCGGTGGTGTAGCCTTCTTTGCTATTGTTGTCATTGGACCTGTACTTTTCTCAGTTATAGCATCTTGATCAGAAGCATTTTGAGACTGTTTATTCCCACCACGATTAAAGCTCGTGCGCGACCCGTCGGAAGTTGCCAACGATCCTCTATTATTACATCCAAGTTTTCGCTCCACCTTTTCGTCTAGGCTAACTGTGTCTGCCAAGGTATATGTCTGCTACAAAGATACACAATTCTGAATTGCTATCCTCAATCCCCCAGTATATTGAGACATCTGTTGGGCCTCGTTCTCATTTAAAATTTTCCGGGATGACAACCGATAAAACTTCTGCGTGTAATCATCAAATATTCTTTCACCTTGTTTGTAATTCTGGTATTATCCGAATAAGACTTGTTCTTAATCACCCGGCAAGAAACATGCTTTCAGTAGTTTCTTCATATTTTCTCACCTATTGACTTTCGGCTTTCCTTGACGAGATCGATTCATGCAAACTGATTCCCACCAAGCTGATGCTCCACCTTTAAGTTGGTAGGCCACCAATTTTACCTTACGCTCATCTGGGATCTCCATATACTCAAAGAACCTCTCTACTTCTGCAACCCACTCAAGAAATTCTTCAATATGAAGTTGCCTGTTAAAAGATGGCAGATCCATCTTCATTTTGAACCCTCTAGCATCACAACTATCCATTTATCGATGATCTCTATGATCATCACCGTGGCGTGGGCCTTTACAGTTACCGTTGTCGCTGTTAAATTCATCATATGGAGTCGGATCACGTCGTTGGCGACCATCAACGCGATTTCGAACTCCTACCGTGTTCAGACGCTCCATTGCCGACGCAAATTGCTCTATGACAGTCTTCATCTGATTAACATCAGTCTTCAGCTCATTAAACCAGTTCGAGAAAAAGGGGCTTTATTGCCTGCCATCGGATCGGAGGAACCTATCTCTGATACCAATTAACGCAGCACGGAAGTAAAACCTCGGAATCCACCAAGGACGATCTTTGAATCCATAGATAAAGATTAAAAAAGAAATTTTATTGATGAAAATATATATCTCTAGGGCTTACAATACTCTGCTTAAATAGAAAAGAAACAAGACTCCTACTATGACTCAAACTTTACCAAAAATAAAAATAACAGAACTCTTTCTAAAAAGACTCCCTAGGATTAGGAAAGCAAATCGATTAAATTTGGGATCAAACCGGATTTGCTTCCTAATCAAAATAGACTCCTAACACATTACCTAAAATAGTAAAAAAAAACTAACAAAAGCGCTAATATCTCTCAATCCGGAGGAAATTTGGCGAAACGGACGACGACAAACCGAACAATGGTGGGTTTGGTTAGCTCCGTCTCGAAGAAATACGCGATTTTCATATATAATTCGTCCAATTCCGACTTACGGTTTGAAAGATATGACTCGTTCTTTGTGGCAGGTTATTTTTCTCGACCGGGTCCGCGTTTGGGCTTGTGTCTGTCCCGCTTCCCCATAAATATGTCCGCTTTGTGTTCTACATCAGAAAATATCCGATGGACCAGACCATTGAACATGTGGCGTTTTGAGAAATAAGAATCCGAGAATCATGACAACAGGAGAGCTTTGGCGGCAAATACGTTGATACAAAGTTTTTCGTTCAAACTCTCTCGTATTGTCGGCATATCCTGAAATCTAGATTGACATGATGAGCTCAAATGCGCAACAAACCGACGATTAGATGCCGGACGTGTGAATCCGTGATGTCAGATGATCTACCTCATGCATAGCTGCCAAAAAACATCCATACCCACATTTCCTGCCTAAACTCTTGCAATCAATGACAAAATCAGAGGAAAACCTGTCTAGGGTTTTAGAGACAAACAGCTACTTGTAGAGCTTATGACGTTTGTTGGGGGGAAACATTACGGGCCTCCTGAAGACATGGGCTCCTCTTTGCTTTCCCAACTGAGGCTTTGCACGTGGCATGGGGGTGACTTCACATCATCTTCTGTAGAAACAATGTGGGTACGTAGTTATGTACGTATGGTGACTCTCTACAGAGTTCCTGCTTGTTTGGCTTGTCTTCGGCGGCAGCGAGACCCGCTATTTTGATGCCGATGTTTCGGTTGGACTAATACTGGACGAATTCTAGGATGATGCGCATAAAATCTACTGTACAAATAAAATATTTAGTGGCTCTCTACTTGGCAAATGATTGAAGTTTTTCGTCGTGTTGGCGTACTAGATAACCGGTAAAGTAGTGAGCCAATAACAGGTCCATGATTGATCTATTTAGCAGTGGAGAGCCTTCATTGGCAGGAGCCCCCCCCCCCCCACCCCCCCCCCCCCACACACACACACACACCCCCACCCACTTACCCCACACATCACGCACACACAACTAAAAAAACCTCAAACTTTCTCGCATAGTCCTTTGCCAGAACATGACTATCAACATACATAGAATCTCCATAGTCCTGTGCCAATATTTTTAGACTAGAAGGAAAAAGAGAAAGAGAGAGAGAGAGAGAGAAAGTCATTCATCAAACTTCTCCACCATAAATTAGACATAGTGATCTTATTAAACATGAAGAAAACCTCAAAATATTCAATGAAGGGAACTTCACTTGATCAGGTAACCTCATGCAAATGTCAACAACCTGTACAAAACCCTCAGCCTCAAACACTAAACCAAACCAACCAAACAACACAAATCCTCCTCCTCTTCATCATCTCAAAATTAAATCATCTAACCCTAAAAACATAAGAAAATAAACCGCATTTTTTTCAACTGTGACTCCCATTCTTTATCAACGGCTGTTGAGAACTCTTCCCGCATTCTTCTGGCGAGCTCTTGACCTCCATCAATAGAGCAACCACCTCCTTCATCGTTGGCCTCTCCGATGGTGAGGAGTTCACACAAAACATTGCGATTCCTAGGGTTTGTAGCATTTCTTGCACCATTTGATCGGGAAGTCCTCGGAGTTTTGAGTCCAAAATGTTGAGTGCAGGCTCGAAGCTCCCCATCTTCTTCTTGACCCACTCCACAATGTGTCCCCCGTCGCCAACCATCGATTCGATTGCGTTGCGGCCGGTTAGGATTTCAAGGAGGACTACTCCGTAGCTGTAGACATCACTCTTTTCTGTTATGTTTGCCGTGTATCCGTACTCTATATTGAGATTTTGGTGTTAGTAAAGTTATTGAAATGTGGTTATTTGTAGCAAACGAGTGATAAAAATGATAAATAAATAAGATAAAAAAATATTTATTACTTATTGAACGAGAAAAAAGAGAGAAATTGAACACATATTATAGTTCCTTAATTAATAAATGTTTATCTTCAAGAGGACTCCAAGACGACTATCATGCACCTGAATAAAACTTGATTAAGTTTGTTGTTTGGAGATGATTTGTGTAACATCATCATTTTCTTAATATTGAAGGTTTTAATACTTTCAAGGCATGAAAGAAGCAGTTATACTCACCTACCATATAGCAAAGTGCATTGTATGTTATGAAATGACAGAAAATTGATCATTATGTGACCACATGATGCGCAAGCAAAATGTCATAAAATACAAGAATTTTTGTTTAGAACTTTAATAACATGTAGATCAGTATGAGCAAACCTGATCAAGCAATTTAATCACATATCATGCATTTTTTAGATAGACGTAACTAATATAGTTGCCTTAGATATTGAAGCTATCCTTTTTCTTAATACCTAATTATTCAAACTTTTCATTGTATAGAACTCAAGTTTGGACTCTTAAGATATAACATCCTTGAAACTCTCAAGGCACCTTTGAGTATGAAACAAGAGACAGATGCTTGTGACAGTAGTATCTTTTAGATAGATAGCTTATAATAATACACGTTTAAGTTATTTCATATCAGTATTTTAGTTCTAAAGAAAGAGGACATTCACTGGAAGCATACTTCTCCCTCTAACAAAGCAAAAAGTTTCTTAATTCTAAGAGAAAACAAAAATGTTTAGGGAAAGGCCAGGGGAGAGGTTGCAGGAATCATTACTTAAAGAATCCTGTTGAGTTTCCCAAGCAAAGGGTAAGTTATACATAAGTACTATCACTTAACTATTCATTATTTAATATAGGTCTGATTGATGCAAAGTAATAGTTTACTTCAGGTTTCAACCTAGTAATTTTAAAGAGTAAGAGTCAGTTAAGTCTTAAGCAAGAAATCACTTTTGAAAATGCATGACCAAATTCTCTATATTGTTCAAAAAATTGGACAAAAATCATATACCGGTGAACTAAGAACTATTCACACACTTAAACTGACATATGGACTCAATACCTACACAAGATAGCATTCATAAGAAAAATATAGATTGGATAAATGGGAACTTGCCTGGTGCTATGTAACCATAAGATCCTGCAACCCTCGACATAGCATGATGAAAATTAGGCGAATGCATCAGCTTCGCCAATCCGAAATCAGCCAAATAAGCTTCATATTTTGAATCCAACAAAATATTATTACACTTCACATCCCTATGCAAAATCGCCGGCACACAATCGTGATGAAGATAAGACAATCCCTGCGCTGATCCAACTGCAATTTTATACCTCGTCTCCCAATCCAAACTCCTATTCTCCTGCAACAATTGCTGCAGGTTTCCATTCGAGATGTAGTTATACAACAGAAGTTTGACGCACTTGTTAGAACAATATCCAAGCAATTTCACGATGTTTCTATGTCGAATGTGGCCTAAAATGTTGATCTCGGATGCAAATGCATCAATTTGATCCTCATCTTTCTTTGATCTCCATAGTTTTTTGACTGCAATTATCTCCCCATTGGGCATCTCGGCTTTATAAACGACCCCTGAGCATCCTTTTCCTATAACGTTTTCGTCTTTTAGGCATTCTAAGATGTTGTCTATCGTGAAATTGAGTTTAAGGAAAGGGGTAAGAGTCCATGGATATGAGAAATCATCAGCTCCAGAAGACGATAATGACATTGCTTTTTTCTCTGCCGCAAGCTTTCTATGTTTGGTAATGAGGATCCAAATAGCAAAGAAGAAAATAGTTGCACAGCCTAAGATTACACAGACTAAAGCAACTGTTTTGATTGATTTGAGAGCAGTTCGACGAATGAGATCAGAAGAGCAAGTATACCCATCAAAAGATTGACACAGATTTGAGTTCTGGAGATAAGAATTTGATGATAGAGTTCGAAAAAATGGGGTAACTGGAATAGGACCAGAGAAATTGTTATAAGAAATGTTTAGAGAAGTTAGGCTTGTTAGCATACCCAAGACCTCTATACTCCCATATAAGGAATTGCTCGATAAATCCAATGATTGTAGCTGTGACAATTGAGACATTTCCTTTGGAATTTCTCCGGTGAGATTGTTAGAACTCAAGTCTAAACTCATCGTTAAGCTCACCAAGGAGCCGATTTCAGGAGGAATTGGCCCTGAGAAGTTGTTGTAGCTCAAATCAAGCAATGTAAGCTTCTGCAGGTTCTTGATAGATTTTGGCAGAGACCCAGATAAGAAATTGCTGTTCAGGATCAGCTTGTTCAGGTAACTGAAGTTGCCGAAACTCTGCGGGATTTCACCTGAGAAATTATTGTGACTGAGATCGAGCTGCTCGAGATTCATCAGCTCCCCCAACTGAGGAGGAATTTCTCCGGTGATACTATTATTGTGCACATCCAACAGCTCAAGAACAGTAACGTTTGCAATCTCAGCAGGCAATTTCCCCGAAAAATTATTGCTGTAAAGATCTAGAAACACCAAGTTTTGAAGCTTACCAATCTCTTTGGGAATCTCTCCTTTGAACTGGTTCTCGCCAAGCCTCAATCTCACCAATGACTGACAGTTAGCAACACTCTTCGGCAGTTCTCCAGTGAGCTCATTGCCTAAAAGCAGCAACTTGCTGAGCTTCGAAAGCCCAAAAAGCTCGTCAGGGATCGTCCCAACAAGCTTGTTCTTCGACAAATCAAGAGCATAGAGCTCGCTGCAGTTCCCAAATGATGAAGGAATAGTACCCGATATCGAATTCCCCCATAAAAACAGACTCTGCAGATACTTCAGCTCTCCAATCTCCAACGGAATCGGGCCTGAAATCAAGTTCTTATCAAGCTGCAGAGCTGTTAAGCTGCTGCAGTTGCTAATCTCTTTAGGAATCGGACCCGAAACCAGGTTATCAGACAAATGCAGCTGCTCTAAAACCCCCAACCTCCCAATCTCTTCGGGGACTCCTCCTCCCAGCTTATTCGCCGAGAGGTCAAGAACAACCAACGCCGAGCAATTCCCAATCTCTCCGGGGATGGAACCCGCAAGCAGATTCCCCCAGAGAAGCAGGCTCGTCAACTCGCTCAACATCCCAAGCTCCGGCGGAACCGGACCCGTCAGCTTATTCATATGCAGGTATCAGTTTCCTACGAGCTGAAGGCAGCTGCAATTCTCTTTGGAACCGAGCCCGAAATCTCAGTATCGTACAATGCTAGTGCGTCTGCAAGTTGATCAAACTTCCGATTCCTTCGAATGGGGCCCTGAAAGGTCCAGTGCGGCGGCGCCGAAGTAGGTCAAGTTCGCCAACAGCCACCAGCTCCGGGGGAGGCAACCTGTCAGAAACGGTGCCCCCGACCGCGGAACTGTTCGAGGGACATCAGCGAGCCGAGCTGGGAAGAATCGAGCCGTTTATCAGGTTGTCCTGAAAGCAAGAGGACCTGGAGCGAGGTAAGGTTCGCCAGCGTGGCCGGATGGGGCCGGAGAGCCGGTTCAGTCAGCAGCAGGATACGGGAGAGAGCTCAGCGCGCCGAGCCGCGAAGGGATCGTGCCCGAGAGAGATTTGAGCTGAGGTAAGGAGGCGGAGAGAGGAGAAGAGCCGAGGGAGGAGGGAGGGGCCCGAGATGTTGGGAGGAGAGGTTGAGGAGGCTGGAGGGAGAGAGGGAGGAGAGCTGGGGGGGAGGGAGGTGAGGTTTGAGGAAAGTGTCGGGAGGAGAGGGAGATGACGCGCGCGTCGCGGGAGCAGCGTGACGACCGTGCATGAGCAACGGGTTGGGTCTGAGGGGTTCCACGAGGGGTGGGGGGAGGATGAAGGAGGGCTGATCAAAGGGAGAAGAGCTTCGCCATCCGGGGATAGGGAGGTCGAGAGAGAGAAGTGGAGGAGGAGGAGGAGGAGGAGGAGGAGAAAGCGTTCGGGCATTGGTGGTGGTGGTTGATGAAGGGAGGGAGGAGGAGGCTAGCTAGCTAGGATTCTCAGGCCATGGGAGGTTGAATATTAGTGGAGGTTGAGGGGTTGAAGAAGAAGGAGAGGGAATTAATTAAGGATCGAGGTGCTGGTTGAGTTCCTCGGTGTTGTGGAGAGAGAGAGAGAGAGAGAGAGAGAGAGAGAGAGAGAGAGAGAGAGAGGGGGGGGGGGGAGAGGAAAAACAAAAGGAGAGAGAGAGAGAGAGAGAGAGAGAGAGAGAGAGAGGAGCGGGAGAGGAGTGCATGTGGAGAGAGACGTAGAGGAGAGGTGAGAGGTCGCTTAGGATGCAACCAAGCAAGTCATTTGAATGCCGGAGCCGGAGGGTTTGGTGTCTGCTCACTCTCTCACTCTCGGGGGCTTACATATTTATATTTGAGGAGGTGATATATGTTCTATAGATTAATTGTAAGCAGTATCTCGATTTGGAACTTATTAATAGTTTGATTTTGACAAATAGGCTACACGAGTGATCTTATTTTATTTTATTATTACTATTTTTTGACTCATATACCCTAAATGAAATTTGATAGCTATTACTCTTGGGTGGAATTAGTAAATTTGTTTGAGGGCGAAAGAGTCAAAAACCTGTCTATCTTCCGAAAGCTAACTACTGAGATCCAAACCGAAATTCAAGGAGTTTTATGTGTAATTAGCTTTATCTTCTTATTAGGGAAAAGTTATTTTCCCCCTTCCAAGAAACAACATTCAAAATAGGGTAATCATCCAAAAACTACCTTTAAATATCAATCTATGTATAAACCGATTTTAAAGTGGATTTGTGCTGCAATCAACCATCTCCGGCTCAAGTTTTTGCTAAGAAATCAGAAACAAAAACAATCTTAAAAAATTTATGTTCAAAGTACTTGAAGTGTATCCTAAGCAAACCTAAACACTGACAAAACGAGTCACATATTTTGAATATGAGTTTTTTCACGGGCGTTATTGGGTTTAAAAGTTTGACTGGGAGGTGGTTGATTTAATACAAATTCACTTAAAAGATAGGTTATATATTAACAAACATTTAAAAGAACTTTCTATATAATTACTTTATTTTTAAGGTGTGTCCTAGGAAAAAATCCGTTAAAGAAATAATGAGTATTAGATGACAACACCTTTCGCTACATAAATTATCAATAGATAGACCGGTAGAGAGACTTACCGAGACAGTAAAAATGAACAAATGCACCTTTTCACTACGTCTCTCTGTAGCTCATATTGTCGAATTTGGTAACAACTCATATCCAATACATCGTGTACATTAGGGGCTGTTTGGATGCCTTTAGGAAACTAGAGTATTTATGACACAAAATAGAAAGTGGTTAGGGGCTGTTTGGTTGTTGTTGGTAAAGTTGTGTATTTATGAGTCATGACACAACTTGGAAAGTTATTGTCCACCTCATCAATTTCACTGAGTAACTTTTCTTTGTTTGTTTTTGATTCCATTAGAATCATAAATTGCTTGTTTGGTTTGCAAAATGTAATGTTAATTGCTTGTTTGGAAAGTGTAAAAAGTGGTTATTGTGTGGTCCCTACTCAAATGATTCTATTGGCCTAGCCCCCTCACTTCTGACACATATGTCAGCTTTCCTTCAAAATCCCTACTCAAATGATTCTATTGGCCTAGCCCCCTCACTTCTGACACATATGTCAGCTTTCCTTCAAAACCAGACCATTTTGAAGGGATTTGTGAATCCATGCCATATCAGCATAGTAAATCACTTTACACCATTTTCATAACTACAAACAAACAATTGAAAAGGAGGAAAACTGACATTGAGACCTATTTTTTTTATACTTTTCATCCTTTTACGTAGTAAAAACTTACAACCAAACAACCCCTTATCCACCTCACCACTTTCCATTCGAGTGTTTACATTGTTTGGTTAGGAATCTTTATGAATCTTAAAATAATAGTATTACATTGTTTGGATAGTATAATGTAAAAAAAAAAAATTTCTCAAGGACCCAAAATATGGGACCAATAGGAGGGACAAGTGAGGTGTCCACCTCCTATTGGATAATGAGTTGGCCATCATTAATGATGATCAACTCATTATCCAATAGGAGGTGGACACCTCACTTGTCCCCCCTATTGGTCCCATATTTTGGGTCCCTGTAACAAAGCTCTAATGGAAACTAGAGTATTTATGACACAAAAGAAAAGTGATTATACACCTCACCACTTTCTACAAGGTTTTGACTTTATTATTATTTTTTTGGACACATTTATGACATTGTGTCAGCTTTCCAACAAAATCACTCCTAATTTTGGTGAATTTATGACATTGTGTCAGCTTTCCAACAAAATCACTCCTAATTTTGGTGATTTTGCTTTCGGTGACACATCATCAAAAGTTTCCAACAAAATCACTCCTAATTTTGGTGATTTTGCTTTCGGTGACACATCATCAAAAGGTGTAAGCTATTCATGTAAAAGAGAATTTAAACAATGTAAAGTGATGAAAGCGGACATTGGGACCCACTTTTTTACACTTTTCATCCTTTTACATGGTAAAAACATACAACCAAACAACCCCTTATATATTAATTATGTATAACTGACAATGAAAATAACATTCATACACCACTAAAAATCAGTATAAAATTGGATGTATGTTGTCGCACTTTCTCTCTTAATTTGGAATCATCTCCACACAGAAAATACTAACTTTGACGAGAAAAAAAAAGCTAAATACTGGACTGAAAATGAATCACAAATCCAAAGCTTACACCCTAAGCTTCTCATTAGCTTAAACTAATCCTATTTAACTTCGATTTTGTAAGAGAAAACCTAGGTCTTAGGAGGCCGTTCTGATTACAGCCACGTGAAATCAGCCCCTTGCCTTGTCCTTTACTCACCTTCTTAACTGTGGTCCTCGAACCCTAATTAACTGACCATTAAAAAGGATATTCTACTGCAAATTAAGCTCTTTTTGTTAATTATGACTTTAGGCTACCACGAAAGAGAATCTCATGATTCTATGGATGTGGGTTTAATCACAGCCGTCCATATAAAAATTTTTTGAATGACATTTGGCGCGTGCGATGACCCTCTGATTAGGTCTATGCATTGACCTAGCTAGTTTTACATATCGTGAGATTAAAGCAAATAAATTGTTTCTTATGATTTTACAAAGTTTAGGATAATAGGGATCCAGTATGGATCCAATTTTTTTCGTGTGTTCAACGCAAATGCGTAGTATTTTATGAAATTTCAAGGTTTAGAATGATTGGGATCGAGTAAGGATTAGATTCTATACTACGTGCGTGTATATAGTTTGCTCGATATGAATGAAATTTGAAGATGAAATATTATTAGATCTTTTGTATTAATTTTCTCTTGTGAGGATAAGGGTCTTAGCCCGATTTTATTAATAGAATAGCTCATGAGAGAAATAAACTTAAATTAACTGAACAGAAAAAGATAAATGATCCAAATTACATGGTTGGTATATATGAATGCTATAATTTATGTATTATCAATAATATAAGGACCATTACTGACAAAAAGGAAAAGAAGCGTGAAAAAAATGTTAAAGTTCGATTTATTTTCTTCAGGGGGGTTAGTCATCTAGAACTTAAAACTAGAACTAGGATAATTTGTGGGATAAATTTTTAAGGTGTTAGTCACATAGAACTAGAAAATGTGATATTTTTTTATAGTGTTAGTCAAGTAGAACTTTTGTAGAACTAGAACTATATTATTTTTTTGGTGCGTTAACCAAGTAAAATTCTACTAGAATTAGAATTGGGATAATTGGTCATAATTATCCCACAAATTATACTACCTATATACATAACCATAAGTTCTCCTCTCTCAAATTATCCCACACATTGGAAAGAATACAATTGAGAAAAAAAGTGAATCGCCACCTCCCTAGAAACTTTCTCTTGTAACGCCCCGCCCCGGAATCCCGGAGTCGGCACGCTATTAGATCTGATGGACTGGCCTCACAAACCACCATATGTCTTTTCAGCACGTTTTGTCCTCACTCACGCGCTCCCTGAAAAACTTCCCAGATGGTCACCCATCCTAGAATTTCTCCAGGCCAAGCACGCTTAACTTTGGAGTTTCTAAGAGTTGGGTTCCCGAAAAGAAGATGCATCTTGGTGGTATGAGTATTACAATCAAATCTATCAATACTAATCACATCACCCTCTCAAGGGTTGGGGTATTACAAACTCCCCCACTTAAACTCGCAACGTCCTCGTTGCACCAAATCATATCATCCAAGACCGTACCATCCGTGTGAGATTCTAGAGGTGGCTCCTACGGCCTCAAGAGGTGGCTCCCGCCCTCTTGACGTAGCACTTTGCGCTGTATAGCACTTAGCTCTCACAATTCCGGTTGGCTTTGCTCTGATACCATTTGTAACGCCCCGCCCCGGAATCCCGGAGTCGGTACGCTATTAGATCTGATGGACTGGCCTCACAAACCACCACATGTCTTTTCAGCACGTTTTATCCTCACTCACGCGCTCCCTGAAAAACTTCCCAGAGGGTCACCCATCCTAGAATTTCTCCAGACCAAGCACGTTTAACTTTGGAGTTTCTAAGAGTTGGGTTCCCGAAAAGAAGATGCATCTTGGTGGTATGAGTATTCCAATCAAATCTATCAATACTAATCACATCACCCTCTCAAGGGTTGGGGTATTACATCTTTGCCATGAAGTCAATCATCCGTTCATTTTTTCTGTCTTTACTTTGTTTTTGTGATGATTAGATCTTTTATTATTATCTTCAAGATGTATTACTTTATTGATAGCTTTTTGACGTTAAATTACTTTATTATTATTTGTTTGATAAAAATTTTCTCTCCACAACAGTGGTTTAGGTTAAGAATATAGTGTTGGTGGGTTAGTGCTAAAGATATGCGGGCTATTTATGTTTTTTTTATAAAAGTTAGAAAGCAACTTTGCGATCACATTGATGATTAGATGTTGAATGGTTAATGGTGATATCTATTATTATTAAATCGGCTCAGTAAATTGATTGGGATATTTATAGTTCATCTGTTGATCATCTGTTTAGTGGCCATGGATGATTCCTGTGTACATTTTATTTATTTGCTGATTTGGTTTCAGCGATCATGATGAGATTGGTCCAAATGGTTAATGGCAAAAAAATGCTTATTTTTCTTTCTTTATGATGTTAT